TTTGTCCCCAGGTCCACGCGCACATCATCAGCCGCCTGAAGAAGGAGATGCCCTCCGTCTTCGGGAAGGACAACAAGAAGAAGCAGCTGATCGCCAAACTGCCGCTCCTCTTCGCCCGCATCCAGCTGGAGCATCACATCCCGCCCGGAGACTTCCCCGACTGCGCCCGCATGCAGGTGGGGACCGGGAGGATCTTGCGACGCCCGTGCTGGGGGGCTGGCGGGACGCTGACCCCCGTGCCGGGGGATTCGGTGGGATGCTGACCCCTGTGCCAGGGGATCCGGCGGGACGCTGACCCCCGTGCTGGGGGATCCAGCGGGACGCTGACCCCTGTGCTGGGGGATCCGGTGGGATGCTGAGCCCCCTGTGCCGGGGTTCTGGCGGGATGCTGACCCCTGTGCCGGGGTTCTGGCGGGATGCTGACCCCGCTGTGTCGTGTGTGTGTGTGTGTCCCCATCCAGGAGCTGCTGCTGGTCCACGACTTCGCCCGGTTCCCGGGGCTGAAGCCGCGGATGCTGGAGGCGCTGGACGAGCTGCTGACGACCGACATCGCCGCCCTGATGCCACTGCTGCGGCAAGAGGAGCTGGAAGCACCCGAGGGTGCCGGGGTGCAGGGGGGAGCCTTCGACGGCACCCGTCAGGGTCCCTTCAGCGGGGCGGAGGAGGAAGAGGAAGGCGAGGAGGAGGAGGAATGGGTGGTGACGAAGGACAAGGCCAAGTACGACGAGATCTTCTACGGGTTGGCGCCGCTGGGGGGGAAGCTGAGCGGGCGGCGGGCGCGGGGCTGGATGGTGAGCAGCAACCTGCCCAGCTCCGTCCTGGGCCGCATCTGGCAGCTGAGCGACGTGGACCGGGACGGGATGCTGGACGCCGAGGAGTTCGCCTTGGCTGGTCCCCTCATCGGGGCGAAACTGGAGGGGAGGGGGCTACCGGCCGACCTGCCCCCCCGCCTGGTGCCCCCCTCCAAGCGTCGGCCCAAGGGATCCGCGGAGTAGCCGCCCCACCCCCCCCCCTCCCCACAGCCC